TTCTATTCATGTCTCTTGCCCATTGATAAATGGGATTGTTGGCTTTTTTCATGTGGATTAATTTGAGTTCTCTATAGATCCTAGTTATCAAGCTTTTGTCTGATTCAAAATATGCAAATATCCTTTCTCATTGTGCAGGTTGTCTATTTGCTTTGGTTTTTGTCACCTTAGTTATATAGAAGCTTTTCAGTTTAATTAAGTCCCATTTATTTATTTTTGTTGTTGTTGCAATTGCCATGGCAGTCTTCTTCATAAAGTCTTTCCCCAGGTCGATATCTTCCAGTGTTTTTCCTATGCTTTCCTTGAAAATTTTTATGGCTCGACCCCTGTGGCTCAAGTGGCTAAGGTGCTGGCCAGATACACCTAAGGTGGCAGGTTCGAATCCAGCCCAGGCCTGCCAAACAACAATGATGGCTGCAACCAAAAAATAGGTGGGTGTTGTGGTGGGTACCTCTGGTCCCAGCTACTTGGGGGGCTGAAGCAGGAGACTCGCTTGAGTGACTCGCATCACATCTATATGTGATGCCACGGCACTCTACCCAGGGGGACAGCTTTTGAATCAATTTTTGTGAGTGGAGAAAGGTATGGGTCCAGTTTTAGTCTGTTACATATGGATATCCAGTTCTCCCAGCACCATTTATTGAATACAGTCTCCCCCAAGGTATGTTCCTGTTTGGTTTATCGAACATTAGGTGGCTATAAGATGTTAGTTTCATCTCCTGGCTTTCTATTTGATTCCAGATGTCTTATGTTTGTGCCAGTCCCATGCTGTCTTGACCACTATGGCTTTGTAGTACAGCCTAAAATCTGGTATGCTGATGCCCCAGCTTTGTTTTTATTACTAAGAACTGCCTTAGCTATATGGGTTTTTTTTCTGGTTCCATACAAAATGCAGAAACATTTCTTCCAAATCTTGAAAATACGATGTTGGTATTTTAATAGGGATGGCATTGAATAGGTAGTTTGCTTTGGGAAGTATAGATATTTTAACAATGTTGATTCTTCCTAGCCATGAGCATGGTATATTCTTCCATTTGTTAATATCCTCTGCTATTTCCTTTCTTAGGATCTCATAATATTCTTTATAGAGGTCCTTCACCTCTTTTGTTAGGTATATTCCTAGGTATTTCATTTTCTTCAACGCTATGGTGAAGGGAATTGTGTCCTTAATTAGCCACTCATCTTGACTGTTATTGCCATACACAAAGACTACTGACTTGTACACATTGATTTTATATCCTGAGACATTACTGTATTTTTTGATGACTCCCAGGAGTCTTGTGGTTGAGTCTTTGGGGTTCTCTAAATATAAGATCATATCATCAGCAAAGAGGGAGAGTTTGACCTCTTCTGCTCCCATTCTTATTTCCTTGTCTTGCCTAATTGTATTGGCTAGAACTTCTAGCACTATGATGAATAATAATGGTGACAGAGGACAACCTCATCTGATTCTAGTTCTAAGAGGAAAAGCTTTCAGTTTTACTCCAATCAGTAAAATATTAGCTATGGGTTTGTCATAGATAGCTTCAATCAGTTTAAGAAATATGCCATCTATGCTTATACTCCTCAGTGTTCTATTTAGAAAAGGATGCTGGATTTTATCGAATGCTTTTTCTGTATCTATTGAGAGGATCATATGGTCTTAGAACGTTTATGGACTTGGGTATGTTAAACCAGCGTTGCATCCCTGGTATAAAACCTACTTGATCATGATGTATGACTTTTTGATGATAAGCTGTAATCTATTGGCTAGGATTTTGTTGAGAGTTTTTGCATCTATATTCGTTAGTGAAATTGGTCTGAAATTCTCCTTTTTAGTTGAATCTTTTCCTGGTTTTTGTATCAGGGTGATGTTTGCTTCATAGAACGTGTTGAGGAAGATGCCTTCCTCCTCAATTTTTGGGAATAATTTCTGCAGTATGGGAATAAGCTCTTCCTTGAAGGTTTGATAGAATTTTGATTTGAAGCCATCCGGAACAGGGCATTTTATGGTTGGAAGATTTTTTATTGTTTTTTTAATCACAGTGCTTGAAATTGGTCTGTTCAGGAGCTCTATTTCTGCCTGGCTAAGTCTAGGGAGAGGGTGTGATTCCAAATATTGATCCATTTTCTTCACATTGTCAAATTTCTGGGCATAGATTTTCTGGTAGTATTCAGAGATGATATCTTATATCTCTGGGGCATCTGTTATTTCCCCTTGATCATTTCTGGTTGAGGTTACTAGAGATTTTACTTTTTTCTATTTCTAGTTAGTCTGGCCAATGATTTATCTATTTTATTTATTTTTTCAAAAAACCAACTCCTTGTTTCATTATTTTTTTTGTTTTCAATTTCATTGATCTCTGATTTAATTTTGGATATTTGTTTTCTTCTGCTGGGTTTAGGCTTAGATTGTTCTTCTTTTTTCAATTCCATAAGATGGCTTGTGAGTTTGTTGATGTGCTCTCTTCCCATTTTTTGAATATAGGCATCTAAAGTGATAAATTTTCCTCTCAGAACTGCTTTTGCAGTATCCCAGGTTTTGGTAGCTTGTGTCTTTGTTGTTGTGGTCAAGGAAGTTAATGATTTCCTCTATCATTTCTTCCTGCACCCAACTGTCATTCAACAGGTTATTTAATTTCCGTGCCTTTTTGTGGGGTTGAATGTTTTTGTTGGAGTTGAGTTCTAACTTTAGTGCTTTGTGGTCTGAGAAGATACAAGGTAAAATTTCAATTCTTTTGATTCTGTTGAGGTTTGTTTTGTGTCCTAGGATATGATCAATTTTGGAGAATGTTCCATGGGGCAATGAGAAGAATGTATATTATTTATCTTTGGGTGGAGTATTCTATATGCGTCTAT